GATTTTAAAGGCAATTGAATGCGTGATAATAAAGGGATACGGGCATGTGGCCCAACTAAAGTGGGTATTTGTACAAGTCTGATGGGTAGATGGGAGAAATTTAAAAATAGGCAGATTTAAAAGTGGTAATTGAAATATAGCCACAATTTCAAAAGTAATCGAAATTTAGCCACTTTTTATGTAAAAATAAATTTGAACGAAAACACTGTTCAAAATCCGAAAAATATCCATCATAATATACTGGAGTTCAGTTCCAGTATATTATACTATACTGGAACTCCAGCATAATATACTGGAGTTCCAGTATAATATATCGGTCCAGCATAATATGCTGGAAGTTCATACACAAGTGCTCCAATCTCCAGTATATTATGGTGAAACTTTCCGCGTGTTGGAGTTCCAGCATAATATGCCGGAAGTTCATACACATGGGCATCAATCTCCAGTATATTATGCTGGACCGGTCCGTGTTACAATAAAATAGTGGTTATTTTACAATAACTTTACAAACGCTGGCTATTTTTGAATTACCAGTCCGAAAACTGACTAGCCCGTGCTATTTGGCCGAAGTAGATTGAGCTTCAGACCCTTACCTATGTAAGGCCTAATAATTTTAAATGCCCAATTAAGACCTGTTACTCATACAAAGGTAAAAATTGCATGAGGCACCCTATTTGGTCACCCCTTTTTAACTTATACTCGTTTTATTTTTCAGTTTGCATCCGTCCCCATTTTTTTGTTAAAAGCGTTTTAAAAAGATAATTTTGCCCTTCTTTAATAAAAGACTATTGACAAACTGCAAGACAAAAACTTAAGCATGTTTAGGCTGAAGTTTTAGCAAATAAACTAAAAAACTTCAGCTTGTTTAGACTGAAGTTTCGGATAAAACTCAGGAAAAAACTGTAGATCGCGTTACAAAACTTCAGCATGTTTTGGTATGATTTTTAGCAAATGAACTAAATAACTTCAGCATGCATTAGCAAAAACTCTTTGAAAAATTACATACTCCAAGACAAACACTTAAGAATGTTTAGTTTGAAGTTTTAGCAAATGAACTAAAAAATTTCAGCATGTTTAGTCTGAAATTTTAGCAAATGAACTAAAAAATTTCAGCATGTTTAGTCTGAAATTTTAGCAAATGAACTAACTAAATTGAGCATGTTTTGTCTGAAGTTTTAGCAAATGAACTAAATAACTTCAGCATGCATTAGCAAAAACTCATTTAAAAATTACATACTACAAAACAAAAATTTAAGCAAGTTTAATCTGAAGTTTTAGCAAATGAACTAAAAAACTTAAGCATGTTTAGTCTGAAATTGTAGCAAATGAACTAAAAAACTTAAGCATGTTTAGTCTGAAATTGTAGCAAATGAACTAAAAAACTTAAGCATGTTTAGTCTGAAGTTTTAGCAAATGAACTAAAAAACTTAAGCATGTTTAGTCTGAAATTGTAGCAAATGAACTAAAAAACTTAAGCATGTTTAGTCTGAAATTGTAGCAAATGAACTAAAAAACTTAAGCATGTTTAGTCTAAAGTTCTAGCAACAACAACAACAACAACCCAGTAAAATCCCACTAATGGGGTCTGGGGAGGATAGTATTTACGCAGACCTTACCCTTACCCCGAGGGAGTAGAGAGGCTATTTCCGAAAGACCCTCGGCTCAAAAACAAAAAGACAAAAGGACAAAAAGGAGACAATATTAGTATCACAACGGCAATCATAGGGAAAATAGAAACACCATGAAATCCAGAAGATAGATGCAAAGCAAAGGGAGACAATATTAGTATCACCAAATGAACTTAAGCATGTTTAATCTTAAATTTTAGCAAATGAACTAAATATCTTAAGCATGTTTAGTCTGAAGTTTTAGCAAATGAACTAAATAACTTAAGCATGTTTAGTCTGAAATTTTAGCAAATGAACTAAATTACTTCAGCATGTTTAGTCTGAAGTTTTAGCAAATGAACTAAATAACTTGAGCATGTTTAGACTGAAGTTTCGGATAAAATTCATGAAAAAACTGTAGACTGCAGGATAAATAATTTCAGCATGCATTAGCATGAAATTTTAGCTTCAATGTGAAACAACTTCATGCTATATTAGCATGAAGTTTTAGCTTCAACATAAAACAACTTCATGCTACATTAGCATGAAGTTTTAGTGTAACGACTTGACTTGTCGTTTTAAGAATTAATGCCATGTTCAGTGACTTAAGGTCCCAGGCAACTTCGTAATATATATTATGACTCGCGTGTACGGTCGAGGTTAGTTTTTGGAAGGTTCGGAATTAAATTGAAAGAGAAATTATCATTTTTTGAAGCTAAATGGAAAGAGTTGACCAGAGAGTTAAATTTTGAGACAACGACCCCGAAATGAAATTTTGATGATGCCAATAGCTTTGTATGGTGATTTCGGACTTAGGCGTATGTCCGGATATGTATTTGGAAGTCCGTAGGACAATTTGACGCATTTGGGCGAAAGTTAAAAAATAGAAGATTTTTGGAAAGTTCGACCGAAGGTTGAATTTTTGATAACGAGGTCGTATTTCAATTCTGGAAATTGGAACAACTCCATTACGTCATTTATGACTCGTGTGCAAAATTTGAAGTCATTCCGGATTGATTTGATACGTTTTGGCGTAAAATATAGAAGTTGGAAGATTTGAAAACTCATAATTCGTTTCGATGAGCGACTCGTAATTTCGGCGTTATTTGACATGGTTTGAAGCCTCTACTAAGTTCATATTGTATTTTGGGACATGTTTGTATATTTGGTTAAGGTCCCAATGGCCTCGGGTGAATTTCGGATGGCTAACAGATCAATTTGGACTTGAAAAAAACTGCTGGAATTTTGAACTTGCTGGTGTGATCACTTCTGCGGAATCTTGATCGCAGAAGCAACCTCACAGAAGTGACCTGGGAAGAACTGGAGAAAGGTCACAGATGCGAACAGACTTCCGCACCTGCGCAATCGCATGTGCGAGGTTTTCTATGCATAAGCGACAGGGCTGCGCAGAAGCGGAAATATTGCGCACCTGCGATCATCGCAGAAACAAAAATTGCTCCGCAAGTGCGATATTTGTGGCTGGGCAGTGATCATCGCAGAAGCGCATTTTGTATCTCAAAATCGAGACCGCAGAAGTGGTTTTGGACAGAAACATTAAGGACCAAAATTAGTCGTTTTGCCATTTTTGATTGGGATTTTGGAGCTCGGTTTTTGGGCGATTTTGGATGAGTTCTTCATGACTTTGACTTGTGTAAGTGTTCTATATCCAAAAGTGATTACATTTCATGACTCTATGGTTATATTCATCGTTTAATTTGAGTTTAATGGAGGAAATGAGATTTTTTTGTAAAAACTTTTCAAATATGGAAATTCAAGATTTGGAGGACGATTTGTTATTGGAATTCGATAAAATTGGTATGGTTGAACTTGTATAGGAATGGGTGTTTGGATTTCTGGAAAATTATGTCGGATTCCAAGAGTCAAGCCCCGCGTTGACTTTTGTTGACTTTTTAGGATAAATTTTTAAGTCGACGTTTTATTATCCGAAATTGTTTTCGATGAATCTTAATGAAGTTATACAATTAATTTGGATAGATTTGAGGAGTCCAGAGAACTTCAAAAAGGTAAGTATCTTTCCTAACCTTGAGTGGGGGAATTATCCCTTAGGCATCGAGTCTTATGTGCCATTTGTGAAATGTGAAAAGCCGTGTACGCGAGGTGACGAGTACGTACTCGGGCTATATGTGCAAAATTTATTGAGTTAAAGTCTTGGGCATATTGTGTAGTAAATTGGATAATTGTTGGCATTTATTTAATCATATGTTTGCCATGCCTCAATTCGCATTTATTGGATTTGTTTTTATATGACGATTTGATGTGAGTGTTAACTGTATATTTATGTGAATTCTATGAATTTGATGGTTTGATATTTCTGAAATTTAATTTTATTATGAATTTTCTCTCTGCAAATAATTAATTAAACGAGCTTAAAAAGAAGTATTAATATAATTATCAAAATTTGAATTAATGAAGGTGTTGCCATATGCTGATTATTTTCTATCTTTGTTGATTGTTTTTGAGGTTTTATATATATTGTGTGGAGCCTTGGGCTATTTATTGTGAAATTAATTGATTTGTTATCTTTGGAATTGGTTGTGGCCATTCGGCAAATTGTGATATGAATTGATTTTTGTTATGTTGCCGTGATAATATTCCGTATAAATTGTTGAGTTATTATTTTGAGGATATAAGGGTGGCATTCTACTGTTAATATTATGTGGGTATAAGGGTGGCATTTCACTGTTATTATGTGTATTGGGATATTGTTTGGGCGGAGTGATAAGGGTGGCTATAGGAAAGATAAGGGTGGCTATTGTCATGGATGATATGTGATGATGTGGATTATTGTGTTGGTAATTTTCATGTGATGTTGGGATATTCCTTGTGTTTATTTTTATATCTTGTGCAACTTGTCTTGTTGTTTCGGTAAACTTGATAATAGCCTGATTTATGTTGCAATTATGAGCTTGTGGCTATTGCCGGGTAGGTAATGTTATATGGGATCGGGTTGAACGCCGCAACGGATATGAAATGTGGGCACGAGGTGCCCAGAAAAATATAATGATTTTATTATTGGCACGTGAACTGTCCGTGCAGCTGTGATATGAAAAGTGGGCACGAGGTGCCGGGGAAATATGATGATTTAATTATGGGCACGAAGTGCCGTGGAAATATAAAAGTGGAATGAGACCCGTATTTTTATGATTATGAAATAAGGTGTCACATGGTGACTTTTAATTGAAAGAATTATATTCAAAATATTATATTTGAAAGAGATTTATTGAAAGAATTATATTTGAAAGATACTTATTTGAGGAAATTATATTTGAAAGAGATTTATTGAAAGAATTATATTTGAAAGAAATTATATTCAATGCTGCTAAGGGATTGAGACAGAGTGATCCTATGTCACCGTTTTTGTTTGCCATAGCAATGGAGTACTTGAGTAGGAACCTGGCTAACCTTAAGATGGTGAATGAGTTTAAATATCACCCTACGTGTGCCAAGCTAGGGATCACTCACCTAAGCTTTGGTGATGACTTGTTGTTATTTGCCAGAGGAGATCTGAAGTCAATTCATGCAGTGTAGCAGAAATTTTTTCAGTTCACTCAGGTTTCTGGGCTTCAAGCAAACCTCAACAAGAGTGAAGCATATTTTGAAGGAGTTCCTACAGAAGATAGACAACAAATCCTTCAGCTTTTGGGCCTTTCTACTGGAGAACTACCCTTCAAATACCTAGGTGTGCCTCTATCTACTAAAAAACTGAGTGTACTTCAATGGCAGCCCCTCCTTGATAAAATGACTGTAAAGATTACTTCATGGACTGCAAAGACCTTGTCATATGCACGAAGAGTACAGTTAGTTCAAAGTGTATTGTTTGGTATCCAGGCTTTCTGGGCACAATTGTTTATACTCCCAACAAAAGTGATCAAGATTGTGGAGGGGCTATGTAGATCTTATATATGGTCCAGAGCAAATGAAATCACAAAAAGGGCTCTGCTGGCCTAGGACAGAGTATGTCTACCTAAAGCTGGAGGTGGCCTTAATATTATCAATTTGAAGTTATGGAATAAAGCAGCCATAGCTAAGAACTGTTGGGACTTAGCACATAAGCAAGACAAGCTATGGATCTGATGGATTCATACATATTACATTAAAAATAAACAGATGAACACATTGGCAATACCACAGCAAGCTTGTTGGATGGTGAGGAAAGTGATTGAGGCAAAGGAGATACTGGAAGCTAGACACTTTGTACAACTTCACAACAGAAGCTTGATCAGACAAATCTACTTGCACTTGCTTGGTGATTACAACAGGGTGGAATGGAAAAGCTTGATGTTTAATAATGCAGCAAGACCAAAAGCAAAATTCATCATGTGGCTTATGATGTATGGAAGATTGATGACATGTAACAGATTGAGCAGCTGGAAGATTATTGTTGATACTCAGTGTGTAATGTGCAGAAAACAAGTGGAAACCAGAGATCATCTATTCGTACAATGTGAATATACTAAGTAGATTTGGAGTAAACTGTGCAACTGGATGCAAAAGCAGTAATGTGTGTTAAAGGGAAATCTCAGCATGCGCAGGTCTTTAAAGTGGTCTATGCAGAAATTGCTTATCAAATTTGGATTGAAAGGAACATGCGTATTTTTGAACAAAAAAAAATAGAGTACGGGAGTAGATTGCAAAGGAAATAGCCTATGTTGTTAGTGTTCGAGTTACTCCTAGAAATAAGTTTTTTGTGTATAGCTTATGTTTCTAGATAGTAGAGTATGAAATGTCCATAGAATGATAGCAAGCTATGTTAGCTGAGCTATAGTTTTGTAATTGCTATTTGGTGATTAATAAAATAAGTTAGTTACCAAAAAAAAAAATTATTTGAGGAAATTATATTTGAAAGAGAGTTATTTGTAAGAATTATATGTGAAAGATATTTATTTGAATGGAGTATATTCTAAATATATTTATTGAAAAGTATTATATCCTGAAGAGTATTATTTGAGAAGCATACAGACGAAAGATTTATATTTGAAGGACTTGATTTAATTGGGTGTACTTGTATTTATTATTTGTTGAGCAATGTTAATGGTGTTCTTGTTGCCCTGTTGTGCATATCACTAGTTAATTTGTATTGCCCTTTATTGTTATTTATTTTCTATTATTTTTGTATACTATATTGCACAGATTATTAGACTAGTGAGTGTCTCGACTGTATCTCGTCACTACTCCACTGAGATTAATCTTGATACTTACTGGGTACCGACCGTGGTGTACTCATACTACACTTCTGTACATTTTTGTGCAGAGTCAGGTATTGGAGATATCAGACTCAGACAGTGTTAGAGTGTGATCACAAGGATTCAAGGTAGAGCTGCTTGGTCGTCGCAGTTCCTTGGAGTCTTTCCATTTTATTGTATTGTTAATTATTAATCAAACAGTATTGAGTATTCGATCCTTGAGATCATTTCATGTATTTAGTTAGAGTTCGTGACTCGGTATTACCAGTCTTGGGAGGTTGTTTGTAATTATTTCCGATGTTGGTTTCGATTATCTATTTTTTTAAAAATGGCTTGAATTGTAATTATAATCGGCTTACTTAGTCTTAGAGACTAAGTGCCATCACGACGCTTGTGGTGGGATTTTGGGTCGTGACATTTAGCTTCAAGGTGAAACAACTTCATGCAAGTGTGATTCTGAAGATGAATCTGGACAAGTTTCTGTTTTTTTATAAAGTTGTTGAGAGGAGAGGAGGAGATTGTTTTATATCTTTTGGTAGGGGTATAATTGTCATATTATTACGAATTTTTTATCAGATGACTACTAAATCAATAATTTTTAAAAATAGGCACTACTAGAAAATGATTTTATTGGAACGGTTATTGTGTAACGGTTTTGTAACTGTAACAATAGATCATACATTGGAATGGTTTTAACCATCCCAATAGAGTCAAAAGGCTTTTGGGACACTTGTGAAGAATAACCGTTCCAATAGTATAATAACCGTTACCAAAACTAAATATATGGAGACGGTTTGTAAAGACGATACGATAGATTTACCTGTGTGAACGGTTTGATAAAATAAAAGTATATTGGAACGGTTTACTTTTCCCTCCTTACTTTCCCTCCTACATATTTATTTAAAAAACAAAATAAATGACCCCACTAATATTTTAATAACTCTTTAATATAGAAATGTTCGGTCACTCTCTCAAAACTCTCAAAACCTTGAAGACCGTCTCTCTCAGCCTCAACCTAGAACACATCACCATCGACGAACTCTGTCGGCCGGCTCCGGCGAAGGACGACAACTGCCGGTGAATGACGACCAGTTTCGGCTAACATACGAGGAGGAAAAGACCAAAACAATACATCATCTTTGGCTTTAGAATCAAAGTCATACATATTCTTTCACATGAAATACTAATAGTACATTTACTTTAACAAAGTGGTGCACTTTTAGTCATAATACTAAAAAAAATCCAAAAACATGCATTATCTTTGGCTTTAGAATCAAAGTCATACATATTCTTTCACATGAAATACTAATAGTACATTTACTTTAACAAAGTGGTGCACTTTTAGTCATAATACTAAAAAAAATCCAAAAACATGCATTATCTTTGGCTTTAGATTTAAAGTCATACATATTCTTCCACATGGAGCACTAATAGTTCATTTACTTTAACAAAGTGGTGTACTTTTAGTCATAACACTAAACACATTTTATTTTTTAATAGAAATCTAAGATCTGACAAAATATATGTTCACTTTATTTTCTTGTTAACGAAAGAAATAAAGATAACATATTTATCTAGATAGTAAATAGTAAATATACATAGAATTTATTTACTATTATCTATTTACTATATGTAAAATATACATTTTACTAAGAAATGTTAAACACCGTTAATTTTTATTTGCAATGATTTTTATCTAGATAACCTCAAATGTTATCTAGATTTTTTATTATATACATAATATTTACTATACGTTGACATAAAATAAATATACGTAAAATTATTGATGAGAGTAAAATAAATTTTATTACTAAAATAAATATACGTAATATATATTTATTAGATTTTTTTAGTTTATGGGAGTCGGCGTATAGGCGCCGTATACTAAATATATATAAAATAAAAATAAATATTATGTTTATTGTAAGAGCAATCTCCGAGGTAGGCTAAACCTTGAAGGCATCGTCTCTCTCAGCCTCAACCCAGAACACATCGACCTCACCATCGACGAACTCTGTCGGCCAGCTCCGGCGAAGGACGACAACTGCCGGTGAATGACGACCAGTTTCGGCTAACATACGAGCAATCTCCGAGGTAGGCTATTGATTTTCCCCCTGTTTGATGTTTGTATAACTATTCGATTTTCGCTTTCTTTTTCCCCTTATGTTTTCTTTATCTGGTAATAATTCTGATAAACACATTATTTTGCTTTTGCTTTGTTTGAATTACATGATACATTTGTGATTTCTAGTTTGCGAAATTGGGGGATTTATTTGTTAGGTTTTGATTTTCTGTTTGAAACCATGAGATTTTCTTTGTTCGATGTTTACTATTGATGTTCGATCTTCGTTGTCTTAGTTATTCAGAAAAATCGTTTCGCTGCTCCTTTTTTCTTTCTCTGGTAATATTTTTTATAAACACATTCTTTTACTTCTGTCCGATTATGGTTGTGCTGCTTTCACTTAAAATTGTGTGATTCGTTCATGTCTGTGCTTTAGTCCAACGGGTAACTGTTTGCCTTCACGTCTATTAGACATTGGGGTTATTCTTCTCAGCAAATTGCTTGCCTTTCTAAATTTTCTTGCTTGGTAAAAATGATGCTATCTAATCCTTAAAATCCATGTAATAAACTTTCGGAAGAGAGCTTTTTCGACTTATAGGTAGTTCGTCAATCATACTCTCATAGTTGTAATTAATAACTTAGTGCAAAGAACGAAAAGCTATAAGCATTCTGTTCAAGTTGTAAACTGTTGAGGTCTTTTCTTTATAATTACGACCTAGGAACTTAACTTANTTTTTTCTTTCTCTGGTAATATTTTTTATAAACACATTCTTTTACTTCTGTCCGATTATGCTTGTGCTGCTTTCACTTAAAATTGTGTGATTCGTTCATGTCTGTGCTTTAGTCTAACGGGTAACTGTTTGCCTTCACGTCTATTAGACATTGGGGTTATTCTTCTCAGCAAATTGCTTGCCTTTCTAAATTTTCTTTCTTGGTCAAAATGATGCTATCTAATCCTTAAAATCCATCTAATAAACTTTCGGAAGTAGAGATTTTTTGACTTATAGGTAGTTCGTCAATCATACTCTCATAGTTGTAATTAATAACTTAGTGCAAAGAATGAAAAGCTATAAGCATTCTGTTCTAGTTGTTTACTGTTGAGGTCTTCTTTGTAATTACGACCTAGGAACTTAACTTACCCATTTCCAATTACATATTTTGTCCAATTTTATGATGTTATTTGGTCACAGTATGTCCCAGAATAGTAGAACTTTCCTAGAACAGTGAATATCCAAACCCCTTTCTAACCTCAAGTGNAACCTCAAGTCCTTAAACTATTATATGTACAGTAAACTTTTAAGCAAATGAAAGGGACTATGGATAGAAGACATGGAAACACCTCAATTACAAGCAAATGAGTAGACTGTTTCTAACATAATTATTGCTTCATGTCATGTAATAGCATAATAATTGCATTATGGTGAAAGCAAGTTCATCACAGAGTGATCCTATGAATCTTTCGGAGAATAGAGCTCCTTTGGAGTAAAGCAGTGATGTTACAGTTAGAGATTAAGAATGAAATTGTCCCGTCCTTTATCTAAAAGAAACTTTTAAAGAGTTGAAGTTATCATGAATAAGTGTATTAGTATCTGTATGAATACGAGCGTATAGAAGTACAACTTGTCCACCCAAAAAAGGAAAAAATTATATAACTAAAAATAGAAAGAAAAATAAATCTAGAAGTTCAAGTGCTCAACTGAAAGGATGGTTACTTGAAAGTTGATTCATTTTGCAGTTTCAGGTTCGCTAAGTAGTATCTGAGGTAGTTTTAGATGCCTCATCTTATTTATGAAGACGATAATGTGAAGTAATTGTTTGAAAACTGTGACATGCAGAAAATGAAGTGGTGATGTCCCTACTTGTCTTTGGTTGCCCCCTNGTGCAGTAATTGTTTGAAAACTGTGACATGCATTTGGAAAATGAAGTGGTGATGTCCCTACTTGTCTTTGGTTGCCCCCTTCCTCATGTCTTTCCTCCTCTCTTGGACATCATCAAACCTTTGCCTTCTTATTTTTTCTCAGGGTGCTGCTCGCAAATTAGCTACACAGAGAAAGAATATAGAGGTCGTTGAATCTGTTGGTGTAGCAGGGAAATCTGATCCCGATAGGAAAGTCAAGTACTTCACACTGGAGGTAAGTGTGCTTTTTCCTTTCTCCCACAACATAGTATCTAGCTGCTTTCCTCGATGAGTATTGAGTACAAAGGGCCAGTTAAAT